TATTTGCTAGAAACGCGCTAAATCGACGTATCTCGCTACATTAGCAATACTACTATAAAAGTCGCAAAGTCGGCATTGCGAAGACGTAGAAGGAAGTAGCTATAACGTTTAATCCTACTAATTAAGCGCTCTATAATACTAAATCCGGGTCTTAGCGGGACTTAGTATCCTTATCGCTTCCTCGAATTTACGCTTCTCGACTAGCTCTTATATACTATCGATACCTACGACTATCTACAAACCCTCGCCGTAAAGAACACGATAGATAGCCTACTTAGCGAGCTTATAAGGATACGATAGAAAAGCCTGCTTAGCGAGCTTATAAGGACACGATAGAAAAGCCTGCTTAGCGAGCTTATAAGGACATAATAGAAATAATAGAAGAGCCTACTTAGCGAGCTTATAAGGATATAATAGAAGGGTAGTAAGGAAGGACCTTATTAAATGCTATCTCTAGCGCCAATTCTAGTGCTATTTCTAGCGCTATCTCTAGTGCCAATTCTAGCGCTAGCTCTCGCAGAAGCAGCTTAACTAGGCCTGCTCTCGTAGAAGCAACTTAACTAGGCATTATACGCTAGCTCTCGCAGAAGCAACTCAACTAGGCCTATACTCGTAGAAGTAACGCGATCGAGCGTAGTATTACGGCTTACTTTTCCGGGGATAGGACAAGGACTTAGCGAGCTTATAAGGATATAATATTATTAAATGCCAATTCTAGTGCCAATTCTAGTACCATTTCTAGCGCTATTCTAGTGCCAATTCTAGCGCCATTCTAGTGCTAATTCTAGCGCTATTCTAGTGCTAATTCTAGCGCCATTCTAGTGCTATTTCTAGCGCCATTTCTAGCGCTATTTCTAGCGCTATTCTAGCGCCATTTCTAGCGCCATTTCTAGTATAGGCTATAGCTAGTTTCTTACACGCTAGCCCTCGTAGAAGCAGCTTAACTACGATACTTACGACTATCGACACCTACGACTATTTTATACGCTTCGCTCGATAGTACTTTACCTACTCCTCTTCCTACTCCTAAGACTACGAATAACGACTATAGCTACCCTCTTTACTGCCTACGCGGCTACCTGCACGGCTGCTACTAGTTATGCTATATAAGCCTTCGCTACGCTTAGATAGCTTCCGCTTACAACCGCCGCGAGTCGTTAAGCTAGCGGCATTAAGTAGATGTTTAGACTGTTCGGCGGTACGAAGAGTCGCTTCTAAAGGGCGTAGTAGACTCTAGACTCTACAGCCTTAAGAAGGAGAGGCACGGCGCTTATCTCCGGTAGATATAGATACGGTAGGACGGGTAGGGTAGTTACGAGTGCTTCTTATTACTAGAGCCTCTTCTTCTATAATAGTAGTCTCTCGCTAACGGGCTTTACGAGCTTTATTAGCAATCGCGAGCTTGCGGGTAGACTTAGCCTTAGCGGACTTCTTAATAGCTTTACGTATAGCTGCCTAGTCGTCGGTCCGCTGCTATAAGCGGGTGCGTTAAGGGCGTAGCTACTCTAGCTAAGACGCCTAATCTGCTATCTACTAGTTGTCTATACTAACTCTAGCTCTAGCTTTAGCACTAACGTCCTCGCCGCGGTTAGGTTGCTTACCCTTAGCCTTTGCGCTCTTGCGGCTATCGGCCTTCTTCTTCTTAGCCTCCTCCTACGCTACGTATACCTCTAGAGCGATGCGGTTCAACTCGGCGATAAGATTAACAATCTATTATAGTCGATCCTATCGGAAACTATTACCCGAAGCGTCTAGATTATTCTACTGCTTAAGACTAGGAGCAACTTTATATAAGTCCTCTACTACTAGCGCTTTACCTAATGCCTAATCTTCGGCGGAGTCTATATAAGTAAAGATGTCGTATATACTATAGATAAATTTGTCTAGTATAAAGAAGCTTAGTACGATCCGGAAGCGTCGGTTTGTATTAGGAAACAGCTTGTCTGCCTGCTTAGCGTACTAACTATATACGAAAGGAAAGGCGCATCCTACGCGAGTACCTTTCTACGGCGGAGTAACTTTAGATAGCGCTATATTAGTAGGAGCTCTAGTATCTATATCGAGGAAATCGGACACCTCCGGATTGCAGACATTGTAGTAGAGGCCTTCTAGCGTAGTTATCGATAGCTCGTATATACGCTTAGCCTTACCGAGGTAGGCGTTAATTACCTTACGAGGATAGAGATTCCCCGGTAATAGTAATAGGTACGAGTTAATAATACGACGCTACGGCTCGGGCACCTTCTTACGACGCTCTAAATTATCCTTAGTCTAGGTCTTTAGTCGGCTAGACTGTAAGAACTCGGTATCGTTATCGTCTATAATACTACTAGTATTAGGGAATTCGTCTTCTTCCTCTATACCTTCTCCTAGCATCTCGACTACTCGTAGATAGCTTAGGCGCGTAGGTATATACGGCTATCGAGAGCGAGTTTAGATAGATATTATAGCGATAGAGATAGTACCCGGCGGTATATCCTTAAAATTATCGAATATCTAGTACGGCAATATAAAAATGCTATACGCCTGTCCGACAATATCGCGACTGCTACGACCGATACGCTATACTATATCCTCGATATCCTTCGTAATTAGAAACTTAAACTAGATCGCAATCTTAATATTAGGGACATTTAAGCCGATACTTAGTGCTAGGGTGCTTGCTATTACTCGGATTAGTCTACTACGCTTACTAAAGATATTATATCGCTCCTTTTAATCGGCTTCTACGATATACGAGGTATAGAAGGAGACAGTAAGACAGACATCTACGCCGCTACTATTAAGGATAGGATTATAAGAATACTTCTTATTCTAATCTAGGCTGTCCTTAGTTATATATACTAGACAGTTACGAAGGAACTCGACTATCTCCTATACTAGTATACGCGCGTCCTAGAAGATAATAGTCTTATTAATTTCTATTAGAGTAGCTTTACCGTCCTTTACTCTATATGCAATCGCGAAGAATAGACTCTTATAATTTCCGAGCTCCTTAAAGAGAAGGGGTTTAACGATGTAGGTAATATCCGGACGGTCGATACTGCTACGGAAAATCTTCGTTATATATAGCGCAAGGCTAACTTCGCGAAAGCCGGCGTTATCGAGGATGTATTGTTATATACTAGCCTCGATAGACAGCGTTATAGACATACTAAGCTAGATAGTATCGCAGCGTACGATTAAGCGCAGCTAGCTAATAGTAGTAAAGGTAGTACGGAAGTCCTTCTATTTCTTAACTAGATGTACCTTATCGATCGCAATAAGACTAATGCGGCGGCGAACGTGCGGCTTTGCGAGGAGATCTCGAAACTCTAGCAATGTAGCCTGTTCCGGACCTATAATAATATACTAGACTTTGCTATCCTTAATCTTCTTATATTAGTCTAGATCTAGCTTTTTCGTATCTGTATTAATAACTATCGAGGTTACTAGCTTAATGTCTCTATTAAGCGCCTTAATAGCCGTATTCTATTCTTCTTCGAGGCAGATAAGCGGGCTAATTACGATCGTAGTTTGCCCTATTAAAACCGAGAAGGACTAGAAGATTATACTCTTGCCTTTACTAGTATATACTGCGATTAGTGTATCCGACTGTCTAAAGGTAATTGCGTTAATTCTATCGACCTAGATGTCTCGTAGCGAATAATCGCGCTCTAGGTATATCTACTTTAGTATACGGCGTATACTAGCCTCGATAATATCGCGCTAGACGTCGACTAATTGTAGGTACTATATTGCATCGTAGATTACCTGCTATAGCTACTATAGTAATATATTAGGGATATCGGCGTATCTCTCTATAAAATGCTATAGGTATTGCGCCTCGTTATTAGGTAAAGGTATAGCTATATTAATACCTTCTAGGCGCGCATAATAAGATACTACGGATATACTAGCTAGAAGGCGAGCTAGGTTGCTATTAGCTATAGTAGTAGCAGCGTCTTTCCTCGGCCGACCTCGACCTCTTCTAGATCTACTAGCGACGGCGGCGGCCCTCTAAGCCTTACTCTGTTTCGGCATACTTACTTAATACGCGTACGTATATATATAGGTATGCGTAGGTGTCCGAGATAGTGTCGTTGCGACTCGATTGCGGATATTAGAAGCAGATATTTAGCAGGAATAAATAGGTTGCTTTGTACGTAAGAGGTTAAAAACAGTTACGCGTAACACTTTCTTAGAGTGTGCCTAGTCGCGCTAGATAGTGCTAGAATATACGTATTAGAAGTGTTAGGGTCTATATATTTAAAAAGGTAGATTTTAGCTGTCTTAGTCCGGGCGCCTATACTATAGCAACGTATTACTTTAATAACTTAGATAACACTTAGAGGAGATTTATAGTATAAAGAAGGCGTAGATTACTAATTACTAGTATTAGAAGTAGTAGTGTTAGTATCTTTTCTATAGCACTTCGATAGCGACTCGAACTGCTAATGCATTCTAATATATAGGTTAGAAAGTATATAATTTCTATAGCTATAAGTTCTCGATAATATATTAATTTAACTACGGTATGTAATTTTTTGCGCTGCGCTCGAGGTCCATTTTCGCATTGTCCTATATAAAATGAGCGTGGTTGTGTCGCTATATAATATATAAGGTTGGAAATAATATCATCTAGTAATAGAGTTGCCCAGGTTGTCGTCAGGCGCTCCGCTAGAGCCTTGGCTTCGCCAACCTGAGGCATCTACGGAGCGACTGAGTGGAGGTAGTTCCAGATCTGTAATTATCGACGAGCGTCAGTTCAAGAGCATACGCTGTATGGCCATTCTATGACTTTGAGGAGCATGTGGGCTGAGACTATACGCTACGAAGTCTACCTCGGCAGCAAATCCCCTAAACAATCATTCTTCGAAGATGAATGTTCGATAGAACATTGATGATCATACATCAGCCTACACGTCTGAACCACTAGTATTAGGCCAAAGCCTTCCCTTCTCACAGTCAGCGATCAACGAATTGCTTTCCAGGCTGGCACATAAAGGACTATCAACATCATGAATACTGCCACCGACCTCAAGCAAGCCCTTTCCGCCTACCACAACCTCCGTCGAGTTCCGTTACAGAAGCAAGCTCTTTCCCGAAAACTACAAGAATTGATCCTACTGGCCGTCGACGCACAATGTACACATCTTTTCGCGTCGGGAGTACAGCTTCACACAGCAGCAGCACTCAAAGCTGGCGCCACACAGGCTGAAATTATCGAGACTCTTGAACTTGCAGCGGTTCTTGGCGTACATTCTGTAACTGTCGGAGTTCCGCTCCTCCAAGAAGTCCTCGCCGAACGAGGCGAATCACGAGTATCAGACGAAAAACTCTCGCCGAAAGAACAAGAACTCAAAGGCTCCTTTATCCGTCAGCGAGGCTACTGGTCTGCATCCTGGCCACCCGTCCTCCAACTCTCCCCAGAATTCTTCGAAGCTTATACCGAGTACTCCTCGGTACCATTTCAAGAAGGTCATTCGAGTCTGACACCCTGGTTCAAGGAGCTGGTCTATTGCGCTATCGACTGTGCGACCACACATCTTTTCGCTCCTGGGTTGAAGATACATATTAGGAATACACTGGAGAAGAGGGCGAGTAAGGAGCAAGTGATGGAGGTTTTTGAACTTGCCAGTTTGATGGGTGTTGAAGAGACTGTGAAGATGGGGGCTGAGGCTTTGGTTGAAGTTGAAGGAAAGGCCTAAGACATTTCGTAGTCATTGCATTCCTCTTCATGCGGGAATATATGATCAAGATTCTGCGCTACCAAGCTTTATTTCCAATACCCGCAGCCTTATTATTATTATTATCTATCCTACTCCGCCTTTTCGCTACCAGACTTCTCACCCACCACAACTCTCCCGCGAACCAAACCCTTCTTATTCAGCTTAATCCCGAACTGTCTCCTCAGCGTAAATGAAGTCCAGAGCCCCAATTTCCTCCCCTCTACCTCCGCCAAGGTGGCTTGCATCTTCTCCAAATACGCTCCCAACCTCACGCAGCACCCACAATCACATTCTTCATGATTGTGTCCGTACGCAGGAGATTTCTTTAGTTGTCCCCAGCGGAATCGCTTTGAGTATTTCTTTCTGTCTTTGTCGTTGATTCCATCGTGCTGTTGCTTGCTGGCTGGTTGGTAGATTTCTTGGAGCGCTTCCGGGACGTGGTTTTTTACGCAGTAGGTCTCTTCGGCGGGTGTTTCGAAGGCTCCGAGTTTGGACATGCAGAGTATGACCGAGTTGCAGCTGAAGACGCGTTTGTTGCCTGAGGCTGGTTGATTTGGGTTGTTGATTGGTAAGGCGTCCATTTTGATGTAGGTCGATGTGAGTGATGTTGTTGAGTTGCAGATGGCTTTGGTAAAGTAAAGTCTTGAGATGGTGGTCTGGAAGTCTTCGTGCAAGATGTGATGATGGAAGCTGATGGGAAGTGAGAGTGTTATACTTATACCGATTTTGCGTCGCAGTGCGTTTGAAGTCCTCACACTATGTGTCCTCATTCATCTATGACCAAAATCTTGGAAGCTTCGCTCTGGCTGTAGGAAGTAGATTTTCCTCCTGAGGACATCGGAAGTCGATCTGAATATATATGCCACGGGATTTGGAGCATCTGTATCCTTCCTTTTCTTCTCAATAGATTTCATCAATCAGCCCATATCAACGTCTGGGGGCAGCTTCTTCGACACAGCAAAAGGCCATAACTTTGAGTCAACCATCCAAACCAACATGTCATACTCATACGAGACATCAAACTCAGAAGGCAGTACCGGCACAGTCATGAATCAGGGCCTCGGCCATCCCTTGGGCCAGGCACTGCTACGCCCGGACGCTGAGTGTAGCATTATGAACAAAGTGCCTGGTACAAAATCCCAGCGACGCAGACCTTTCTCGATCACTCGACGATACAGAAAAGCCTGTGCTGTCGTGTCTCGAATCGGCAGGCTCTTTCAACCAAGACCACCTGCGGGTCAATCACAGCCAGAAGAAGACGGTGTCGATTTGAGCACACTTTCGGCGGTGCCACAGAAAAATGACCCGGCAGTCCGGGTTCTGCACCAGTCACTCATCAGAGAGCAGCAGCGACAGAGAAATCGCGAAGAAGAAGAGCGATTCGAACAAAAGTTTGACGAGTTTGATCGCCGCTTTGACAAGAGCAAAGATTCCTTGGACCTGACGCGGGAAAGACTGTCTCATTCGCGCTGGCCAAGCGGTAGCGTGGATTCGGAGCACAGTGAGAAGGGAAGCCAGAAGTTGATCTAATTAGGCGCGGTACCGCTTGGCTTGTGAATAAAGAAGATCGATGGAAGTATGGGGCACTTTCTGTCAAGATCTGGGATGCTTTCGATGTGTGGACATTCTGTATAGCTCGCTGGTATCTGTATCTTCGTTAAAATTGAGTATGGTACCTTTCCGCAACGTCGATTTCATGATTGCCCCTTGCGAAAGTATAATCCATCTGAGGATCTTCAGAGGTGTTGACCGATTCGTGATGGCAGGCGCTGATAGTATATGCCAGCTATCCCTTATCGCGTTGATGCAACGCACAAGACACTCGGCGAAGACAGCAGCCGCAGGCAGGGTGCGACACTTCTATGCTTCTTCGTTCTCGTCAACCCTTTCCCAAGTCAAACTGCCAGCACTTCGAGACAAAGACTCGTCACTTGTCCCTCGAGCGAGGCTCGGTCTTGTGCCAGCACCCATCATCCATGCAATGAAGGATGGTGGCGCCATGCTGCCGATAAGATCGTACGTTCTGCTGCCGCGTCCAATGTGTAGTCGTGTATGTGGTCGCTTGGCGACAAGTTCGTCAAAGACGGTGTCGTGCAGCTGGCGGAGTGGCGTCGGCCGGAGTCTCGGCGGTGGTATCCCTTCTCGCTTTTGCCTTGCTGTCACCATAGGAATGTCGAAATTTCCAAGTTTGAGATGTGACAGCGTGATTGCGTCTTGCTCCAGCTCAGCAGCTAGAGATGAGCTAAAGCCCTGCAGTGCGCCGTAAGCAGTACTCTCGATCGAGTGTTGAGGCAGTCTCAGGGCCGGAGCCACGCTCGGTGTCAGCAGCAGTATCTTTGCCTTGTTCTCGACGACGGCCGGCAGGAGCAATTGCGTTGTCGCGATCGTGTTCAACACCTTCGCATTCAGCGCATCCGACCACTCCTCGCTGCTGATATGCTCTACTCTTGCTGGCGAGCTCTGTGTATCTGGCACCAGCACCAAGCCTTTGAAGTGCAGTCTGTGCGGTTCGGCTCCTTCGAAGGCAACACGCGGGCGGGTCAACATGGTGCGAAAGCGCATCGTCTGGCCCTCGGCTTTGAATGGATCTACGAGGTCTAGCGGAAGCGGTATGAGATCGGCTCGGGATTGACTCCGGAGGTATCGCTCGTCTTCTGCTGTGTTTGCGACGACGTAGACGACGAATCCTCGCCGTTCTAGCTCGAGGTATAGCGCGGTGGTGAGGGGATTTGCGACAGCGCCTGCGACGACGACAATGTCTGTACGAGCGCCAGAGGCCGACTTCCCCGCACGTCGCTTCCGATGAAGCTTCTGACTCCTCATGTAGATGTATGAAGCCACTGAGCCCGTGACGGCGAAGGCCACAATGGCAGCGGTAAGAGCCTTGTGTTTGGACAACCATCGCTCTATCTGTCGATACGTGGTCGGCGGCGGCGGCGGCGGCGGCGGTCGTCGTGTCGGTAGCTGGAGCGGCTGGTTGGAGAACTGATGGCGTAGACTCGATGCTACGGAGTCGAAGTGGGCTTCTACATCGCTGACGATATCGTTGAAGATCTTGTGGGCGTGATTGAGGAGGCTGCAAGAGCGAGGATAGGAGCATCAGCAAATGTTCGGCGGAAAGTGTGGTGCAGCATGTTCTCGAGCTTACTGTGAAGCGTCCGTCATCTTTGCGCAAATGGCAGGTGTTGATGGAGACGCACAAGCGCTGGGGGGAAGCGCGAGGTTCACGATGCGGGGCGGGGCGGGGCGGGGCGTGCTCTTTCCCAGCATGGAATGTCCGCCAAGCCAAGCCAAACGATTGCCTTGGCAGTGCCAGAGAATGGAGCGACAGAGGGCAAGAACCGCTTTGCTTCATCTCTCCACCCACTCACTACATGTGCTCCATCGTCGCCCACAGCTACGATGCAATCCATCCGGAGAGCGATCAATGTCGTAGCCCCTCCGCCGCCCACGTCCAACGATGGCCGCGACCAATGGCCGTCGCGAGCAGCTTTCCTCCTGGCCGCCATGGGAGGCTGTGCGGGACAGGGCAATCTTCTCCGCTATCCGTCCGTCGTGTACAACAACCACGGCCTCCAATGGTTCATCCCATACCTCCTGGCCGTATTCCTGATCGCCATTCCCGCTCTCGTGCTGGAGGTCTGCATTGGACAAGCGTACCGCGGCGGCCCCATGATCGCCTTCAATGCCATCGACAGGCGCCTTCGTGGTGTTGGCATCGGTCCGGTGTTTGTCAGCTTCGTCGTCGTGCACTACTTTACCGTCAACCTGGCCTGGATCATGTCCTACTTTCGCCACTCTTTCACAAGTCCATTGCCGTGGGAAGGCCGAATCACCGACTTCTACGACAACCAGGTTGTTGCGAACCCGCCGCCCATCTCCGGGAGCATCGACAACGGCGACGTGACATACACGCACTATCCCCATGTCGCCTTGATCGGCGAGACTGTGGCATGGAGTGTTTTCGTCTGGTTCTTGATGTGGATCTCCATCGTAAGAGGAGTTGGACTGACGGGACGCGTGGTTTACTTTTCCATGGGCATTCCGATTGTGACCACCGTCATCTTCGTCGCTCGAGCCGTCTCACTGGAGAACGCGAGTGAGGGTATTGGGCTCCTGTGGAGAACGTGGAGAGCGGATCAGCTGGCTTCAGGCACAGTATGGCAGACTGCCGTGAGCAAAGATGAACATTCTCGCCTCGCATGCGACATCTGCTGACCTTTCACCTCGCTGTCTCTAGGTCGGCCAAGTTTTCTTCTCGACAGGCATCGGCTTTGGCTACTTCACGAGTTACGCATCCTACAATCAGAAGTACTCGAATGCTGTCATGGATTCCATCCTCATCTGCGGAAGCAATCTTCTATTTGAGAACCTCGCAGCCTTTGCAGTGTTCGGCGTCGTTGGTTTCCTCCGCCTCTGGCCTCAAGACGGAGAGCGCCTGGGTGCGTTCGTGGTTGGCTTCTACACGCTTCCAGAGGTACAGTGCCCTCATTTAGAATCGCTGACATCGCATTCATTGTTGACCTATCACAGGCTGTGCTTCAAATGCCTGGAGCCAACTTCTGGGCATTCCTGCTATTCTTCACCTTGATCGTCCTCGGGTACAGCTCAGCCTTCGTGATGCTGGATGTCGTGGCCACGATGATATGCGATGCCAATACTCGTGTCTCTCGTGCGTGCGTGGTCACTGGCCTGACGATCGGCGCCTTTCTGCTCTGTCTGCCATACTGCACTGAATTTGGGTAAGAATGGAGGAGCGACGCTGGCTTTACAGTCTGTAGAGCAGTCGCTGACATTGCTCCAGATATTATCTCCTAGATGGCGTGGATAGGTGGGTGAACAATGTGGCACTCATTTTCGTTGTCTTTGCAGAAGTCGTCGGCAGTACTACAATCTATCGGTGGGCCGACGTTGTCGCGGAAACTGGCCTGCCTGCATTCTGCATCTACAACTTCGCGTATTTTGGTGGGTTGCTCGTCGGGATTACCATCGCTCATGGTACGGGCATAGCTGCGGCTGGTGTTGGAGCGGGCTTCGGACTGTACGTGGTGTGCTCACTGCTGGCTGTTGCTATGGCTAGGACACCGAGCACACCAGCTGCTCGATCCTGGAAGCGGAATGTCTTTGCCGCTCGCTTCTGGTACCTGGCCTTTTATTCCGGCAATCAACTGAGGCGTGACCTCAATCTCGTCGTAGGCCGCGGAAAGAACTGGAAGATACCCGTATTCTGGCCAGTGCTTCTGCGCTATATCTCGGGCCCCGTGCTCGCGATCATCTTCAGCTTCGCCTTTCCAGAGTTTCACCGCCTACGATACGATCCTATGATGATCACTGGATTCATTCTGTCCATGCTTGGCCTCTCCGCGATCGTCTTTGGCTGCGTCTTCCCGAGATATATGAGCCCGCTCTTGCACGTGGAGAGAAGAGAGGACTCTGCAAAGACAACAATTGCAAACGAGCCAGCTTTCACCGAAAATGAAGTGCACGAGATCAACAGCACTAACGCCGACGCTGGAAAGGAAGCCGAAGCCGTCGAGAGCAAAGGTGCGGCGTAGGCGTAGGGGTCGGTGCACACACAAATCGCCATCGACAGACGAGAATGCATGCTCCGCACTAAGGCCTCGTCCATGGCACGCACGGCCGCACGGCCCCCTTCCCATCTGCACGTAGCCGGCCTGTGGCGCGAAGTTCTAACGGTGGTACCGACCGGTCGAGGTTGATTCTCGTGCGTACCTCAACTCTACCCGGAGCTTGTGAAAGCAATCTCGTCCACTCACCTTTGTGGTGCAATCATTTCGTGTCACGAAGTCAACATGAGTCTTCAACAAGCTGCTGAACAGCACGCTTGGCCAGAAAACTTCTTGTTCGGCATGTTCGCTGGTGACACTTGTTATCTAGGTGGTGCTGATTGGTGCGGACAACTAGACGTCCATCGAGGGGCAGGCAGAGGGGATGCCCTCTTTGTAAGGCTCCTGAAGCGGTTCGTTCCCTCCTACAGACCGCGTGGTGCTCGCCTTGCATCTCTCAATTTCTCCACGCCTCGTGCAAGCTCCAGCAAATGCTGCTCATGGTACTCTAGACCAACTAATTCTAAGCCAACAGGCAAGCCATCCGCTGTCCAGCCGCCTGGAACCGAAACAGCTGGCAGACCCGTCAAACTCGCGAGGAACGTATTTGTTGGAAAAGAGGCCTTGTCGAAACGCCCTGAGTAGGCATCACTGCGAAGCGGTGGAGGCACCTGTACATCGGGCATGACCAATGCATCGATTTGGTGTTCTGCGAAAAGACACGCAAGCTTGCGTTTCAATTCGTCCCGTGCAAGAAGTCGGGAGGCATACGCGGGATGCTCGAGAGGATCTTTGGGACCGTGAGCCATCTCCGACACGAGATCCAGGTATGGTTTCGCAGGCTGCTGAGGCACGATTTCCGCGAGATCTTGCGGGAGATGTGGTTTGGTTGCCAGAAACGAGTTGATGTCCGAGCGTGATCGGATAGTGTAGAGCTCACAGGAAGCGAAGGCCCTCTGGACGTCGTCAATGTGCACGTCGATGACATTCGTGCCGGCTTCCTCGAAGGCTTTCAGCGTGTCGCGTACAACGAGATTTACAGCGTGGCAATGCTGATCTGAGTCTGAGCCGAAGAGTTGCCTCATGACGCCAAGCCTTGCGCCTTTCAGCTTATCGAGGCCTTGCTCCAACCGGGCCGCATAGCTGCCTCCTTTCGGTAGACCTAGAGACTCTGCATTGGCTGCGACGTAGGTGTACTCGTCAAGCGGATCATAGCCCACCATTGCATCAAGCATGATGGCACAGTCTCTTGCCGTCCTCGCGAGCGGGCCAGGGGTGTCCTGTATTTTGACAAGAGGGCAAAAGCCACTGCGAGAAATCAGACCAGGGGTGACACGTATGCCGACGAGATTGCAGAACGACGACGGGACTCGAATGGATCCGCTTTGTAAAACGAAGAGGCTGACATCAGCGGATGACTCGTGACTCAAATCCATCCATCGCACTACTTACCCTGTGTCTTCTCCCACCGCAAGCATGGCAAGATTAGCTGCTACTGCCGCGCCGGAGCCACCAGACGAAGCACCGACATCATGTTCCAAGCTGTACGGGTTCTTCGTGAACTCATAGTCCGTGGCACCATTCGCGCTGAACCATGTCGCCGCCCACTCCGCACAGGTGGTTTTGCCAAGGACGACTGCGCCGGCCTCTTTAAGCTTGGTCACCACGAATGCATCTTGTGGGGGTATGTTGTTCTTGGCCACTGCTGAGCCATAGGTCGTTACCATACCTTTGGTATCTGCCTGTAAACTTGCTAGTCAGTATCAGAAGTCCTGGTTTCTTTCTGGCTCAGGGTCAGACATATGATCTTTTACTAGGATGGGGATTCCGTGAAGAATGCCCTTGAACTTTCTCTGGAGTTATTTCAAGTGTCAGCAAATGCTATTCGGAGCTGGGAATCTTCGCATTTACCTACTGCAGTCTGCCATACCATGTCCAAGGCTTCTGCTTCTTGTAGAGCTGTCTCAGATAGACTCATCGTCGAGTTAATTCTTGGCCCAGCCTTGTCCAATCTTTCGACACGCTCCAGGTAAGCAGCACACAATGACACGGCTGTAAGAGATCCATCTCGAAACGCATCGTGCACTTGTGCAATGGTGAGCTCATCGACATCTATCTTCATCTCGTCCATGAAAGACGACTACTATATCATGCAGTCGCGGAATGATGCTGGAAGTTGGTCTTGGCTGGTCCGGATGCTGGAGGGCTTTCGGGTAGTGGCATAGACGACGACCTTTGTTTGCATCGCATGTTTACTACTGGCCGTCACAGCAAAGTTGACTATTCCGGGCCGGGTAGAGTTGTCGAGGTCGAGATATGCAGGTAGCGACAGGGTATTGGCTGCTTATCATTGGTGTTGACATGCCCAAAGATAAGGCCTCCACAACTCGCGCGAGCAACTCGGTACCCGGATACAATGCATGCGTGTTCCCTGTATAGACAGTTCAGGTAGTTCTGTTGTGTGGTTCTCATCCTTGGTCGCACGAGAAGTAAGAAAGCTTTGTTGGTGCGGCACTTCAGATATGGTCTCAAAGATAGGCAGATGAACAGCTGCTGTATTAAAGCCCGAAGACGAGCACACTCTTGGACAAGAAGGTACTTGCGAGGTCGAATCGCACCACACTTTGGACTCTGTGAGAAGAGAGCTCGTCGTTGACCGTTTTCGAAATTGTAGCAAGGGACAATTGAACTTCTCGAGCACTGCAATGGCTCAGGTACTCGGAAAGGCTCAAGAGCGTGACAAGGAAAAGACGCGGTTGTCAGGATGGGTCCTTCCAAAGCAAGAGACCTCTTATGCTCCAGATGGGACATGGACAAATATTGACCTTGATGTCACGCCTCCAGAACGACGGACTTGGACCGCAGTCTCGATGCTTGGGTATTGGGTTTCTGACATAGTAAGCGCCAGTTCTTCGTCACCCTCCGATGTGAACATTCGGTAGAGGTGGGTTGAAAGCTGATGCAGGCTTGCGTATAGCTTTCAGCGCAATCGTGGCAAATCGGCGCGAGCGTGCTGGCAATTGGCCTGACTTATCGCGAGGCCATATGGTGCGTCTTGGTCGGGAGTGCGGTGATGTCGTTCGCCATAGCGTTCAATGGAGCGCCGGGGTAAGAAATCAACAACTTGAGCGCATCCCAAGGTCTGAGACATTTGCTGACCCTCTTGTTATTGATTTTCAGGGCGTATCTTCGAGTCCCATTCCCAATTTGGATTCGGGCGGCCTTTGGGTACACTGGCGGCAAATTTCCAGTGGCTTGTCGAATTGTTACCGCGCTGTTCTGGCACGCTATTCAGACGTATACCGGCAGCATTGCTTTGACCGTCATGTTGGCTGCCATTTGGCCAAGCTACCTGGACATACCGAACCATCTGCCAAAGAGCGCTGGCATCACGAGTCAAGGCCTTCTCAGCCACTTCTTATTCTGGTGCATTCAATTGCCCTTTCTTCTCGTACGGCCTCACAAATTGAAGTGGTTCTTTGTATTTAAGGCCGTCGTGACGATCACTGCTGCTGTCAGTCTCTCACGTTCAAACCCTGTCATCACCTACTGATCGATTGGGACTAGGTTGGAACAACAATAGCGGTATGCGTCCAAGCGGGCGGATCTGGCGACATCTGGGACCAAAAGCCAAAAGTTTCAGGTTGGACGAAATCATGGCTGATTGTGTCTACATTGACAGCCCAGACTGGCAGCTGGTCGACTGTCGGTACCAATATCTCTGACTTCACTCGGTACCTCAAGAAGCCCAGGTGAGACTGCAATGATTGCAGAACATGCTCATGCCCAGAGACTAGACTGTGCTGACATTGGCGTGATCGCGGTTAAAGAACCACGTACTTTCAATGCGCCTTCTTCCCGGTGATTTGCTTTTCCATAGCAATTCTCGGGATAATCAGCGCATCGGCGTCCAAAGTGCTATATGGAGACTACGTCTGGGATCCGTTAACGCTCGCGAGCAAGTGGAAATCGCCAGGAGGTCGCGCGGCAGCCTTCTACTGCGGACTGGCGTGGATGGTGGCTCAAATCGGCGTCAATGTGTCTGCCAACGTCATTTCTGCTTCGAATGATCTAGCCAGCTTCTTTCCCAAGTATATCAATATACGGAGAGCAGCAGTGCTATGCACGATCACAGGTGGATGGGTCATGGTACCGTGGAAGATCATCACCAGCGCGCAGAGCCTGCTGAACTTCATGGCCAGTCTTGGGATCTTCCTCGCTCCGATCATTGCCATCAGTATCGCTGACTATTGGCTGATCAAACAACGACGCGTCGAAGTTCCGTCGCTCTACGATCCGAATGGAAGGTATGCCTACCATGCAGGGTGGAACTGGCGAGCTTTATTAGCTATGCTCGTAAGCATGTAAGTTCCAAAAAGTGATGCGCGCCGAGACATTTTGCTGATGATGTGTGTTGTGTGTAGAGGCCCCACGCTTCCGAGTCTGGTCAAGAACGTGAAGCCATCAGTTGATATCGGCGGAGCGTCGTATATCGCTGACCTCGTGTGGTACTATGGCTTCATCAGTGCTTTTCTTGTGTACTTGGCCGTGACCACTTTGTGGACGCCGGCAGGGGCTCTGATGTCCGAGGCAGAGTTTGCGGCAGCGCGACATGCTGAAGTCATCTTCCTTCGGGTGCGCGACAAGCAGTATTCGGAGTCCTAGTGCTTGGGTATTGTCTTTCACCGTACGGAGTTGGCGATGGATGATGACCATACGGAGTTGGCGATGGATGATAATCATACGGAGTTGGTGATGCATGAGACTTCACCACGAAACGTACGAAAGCAGGTGCGAACGAGGGTTGGAGGGGTGGCACCGAGTCCCGACCTCGATTCTTGGCTTGGCATTCTCAGAGTGCAAGCTATGTTGTCGCCGTTTCATTAGACTACTACTTTAGTCAAATAGCGCCTATTTGACTAGAATTCATTTAATTTACTAAAAAAGCGCTTCCCTAGTATTTAATAAAAACAGCCCTTTTTAGCTAAATTCGCTCTCTTATAAGCTTAGTATACTTAGTATACTACTATATACTTACTATCGTATCCGGATATAATAATCGGCTTATCTCCTAGTAAAGAGTAGGTATAGAATATAAGAGAATAGTTTTCTTAGTATATCTATAGAAGTAGGAAGTATATATTTAAGTTCGAAGGAGGATAATAACTATATTTAGAGGCTTCTATAGGCGATAGTATGCCTTATAAAGGATAGAGAGGTTTAGAACAGAATAATTAGCTAATATTATATATAGAAAGAGCCCTAAATCCTCTAATAAATACTATAGTCCTCCTTCTACTATCTCTACTATCTTTATATTTCTATTTATTATCTACTACCTCTATATAGTAAGGCCTTCGTATTCCGCCTCTTCTAAACGCTAGTTAGTACTATATAACCCTTATTATTATTATTATTATTATTATTATTATTATTATTATTATTATTATTATTATTATTATTATTATTATTATTATTATTATTATTATTATTATTATTATTATTATTATTATTATTATTATTATTATTATTATTATTATTATTATTATTATTATTATTATTATTATGCGATAATAGCTCTTAATATAGTATAAGGTACTATATAAAGCTAATTACTAGGTATACGGTTACGGTATAGAGGTATTATAACGATTATACGATATAAAGTTAATATATTCTCTATAGTACCGCGAGCTAGGCTATCTATATTATATACCTACCCTTAGGGGCAATAGCGACTATAGCGGTCTATAGTAACTGCTACCTACTATCGTATATATAAAGTATCGTATTATAATACTAATAGTATACGAGCCTATAGTTTAGCGACTTTAGAGAGGGTTATTTCCTTATTCTTATAGCTAGAATAGACTAAGAAGTTAGCGAGGAAGAAGCTATTACCTTTAACGAGGTTCCTTATATACTAGTAGTTTTTAATAAGCCTCTAGGAATATAGCAGTTTATAGAGTAGTTTAGCTAATACTATTATCGTCCTCGTATTACTCTATTATATAGTATATAATTAGCTTCGGACTATTTAGTACCTTATACTACTTAGAGATCTCTAAGCTAATAATGTTACTAATCTCGAAGGTCTATAGATTATTATACTTCTATATACGATTAGCCTTTAGATTAGCGGCTTCCTAAGCGGCTACTATATAGTCTATAGCGGAAGATATACTAGCGCTAGAGGTATAAATCGTACGTTATTAATTACGGACGTCGTAAAGAGGCGTTACTAATATATCGCTATTACTATACCGGTTATCGTTTATAGATAGATTAAGAGGTAAGTTCTTAGGGTTAAATTAAGGCCTATTCCTACTATTCTATTTAGTATTATACCGGTTAGCGTCTTTAGTAGCTGCGCTCTCGTTATCGTCTATAGTATTATTAACTATACGTAGCTTATTAGGTCTAAATAGTAGGTCTGTATTACTCTCGGTTACCGCTACTATAACCTCCGCTATAATAAAGCGAGATTATATTAGCGGCTTACGGTTAAAGAAGGCCTTAAAGGACGTTATCTTTATAGTAGTATATAAGGTATTATTATAGATTCGTAACGCCTTATACGCTACTATAACCTATCCGCGAACGCCGAGTTATAGTTTAATAGCAAGAATGCGCCTCTTAAGAATACCGTTAGCTAGTTCTTTAAGGCCTTACGATTAAGGATAATAAGTGCTAGGCATACGGTTATAGTACGAAGGTATCGTAACGGTTGTGCAATGCAAAAGTTAATGTATTCTCTAAGGTGCCGCGAGGCAAGCTATCTATATAATAGTCCTACTATTAGTAGCAATAGCGACCGCAGCGGTCGATAGTAACCGCTACCTACTATCGTACATACAATAGTATTATATCGTAACAGCCTCCCTCCCTACAAAAAAGGTTAGTACTGTCTATAGTGTCCTAAAACAAAGGTCCTTAGCAGGCCGCACCGTAGGAAGGTTTAAGGCAAAAGAGCGTAATAGCGTCGTATAAAGGCTAAGCCTAAATAGTATGCTAGAACGGTAATGCTAGGTATAGAATCGTGTCTCTCTAGTAATAACTGCGTCGGTCTTATACTTGCTTATTACGACAGTTACGAAGAGCGTCGCGTAAGCTAGTCGGTATAGTCTAAACCGCCTTTAGCTGCGGCTAAGGCGCGACGGTCTTTATAGTCTTATTATCGGATAGCGAGGTATTAACTGCGTCCGCTATAGTAGTAGCGCGGTCTAACTAATCGATAGGGATATTAGGGAAGTCGGTACCTAGCAATAGTAGCGTATCGGCGTCGCGTATAGCACCGTATAGCTTAAAGTAGTCGGTTATCTATACGTTAAGCTTTGCGATCTTATCCTTAGTAGTATTGCCTTATACGCTGCCGAGCAGCTTAAAAGCGTCCTCGTTAATTAGGTATAGTATAGGGATTGCCTATTACGGCGCGACGCGTAAGAAATTGTAGTAAAGATAGGTTAGCGATAGCGTAAGCGACTCCTTTAAGACTGTAGCGGAAAGACGATACTACTAGGCTATCTAGCGCTTAGTTGCTTCGCGGATCTACGCCTTAGCTAGTATCTATTATAGCTAGTGCACCTCGATTGCTGCTAACTCGGACTAGCGCATATAGTAGAGAGCTTGTAAATTAAGCTTACGTATACTAATTGCCGTCGCATTGTATTAGTATTGTCCGTAGGCGCCTATAGTGTTTTCCTATAGGGCGGGCAAAGGTAGCAAGCGTATCGGAAGCGATAGGAGCTTATACTATAGCTACGCAACCGTATTGTTAGACAGTAGTAGCTAAGCCGTAACTAGAGCCTTCGTAGGCGTAGAGAATAGGTTAGACGGTAGTAGCATCTTCGACGGTAGGCGAGGCGCTAAGAACGGGCTAGCGGTTAGCTTCTAGCGAGTATTTAACTTAGTCGATAGTAACGCGCGCGAGGAATTTAGCTAGATCGCCTTAGTTAGCGGGGCAACCGGCTTAGCCCGAGTCGCGAGCTTTAGAGGGATAATTTTACTAAAAAGGTACGCGTTAGTAAGGTCGGTCTCGTCTAGCGAGTAGTTAGGTAACGGTACTAGGAATATACCTATAGGATCCTAAGTATAGTCGATATTGTACTACTAGTAATTCTTATTCGTTACTATCTTATCGTACTTGAAAATAGTATTGCCCTATATAATACGCTCCTAGACGCCTAAAGGATCGAAGACTAGATCGGTAGAGGCCGTCTTCGGCAAATTGTAGAACTGTAGCGTTAGCGCGGGCTCTAATCTATTAGGGATAGCGCCGTCCTTAAGCGTCTAGATATAGGCGATAAAGGTAGATAAGGCGTATACCGGATCGATCTAAGTTAGCTAGCAGACTAGGCTAAAGTCTACTAGGCATTAACGGTTAAGGAGTAGTAGAGGCATACCTTTGCCCTTATTAGCGGTATAGGTACCGTTCTAGTAGCGACCGCTACTAGTAAGCTAAGTATACTATTCCGTATGCGACGTATTAGTAGCCTTAGTATCTATAAGCGCCTTATTAGTATAGAGGGCGGATGTGTAGCCCTCGCTACGAAGCGTATATACGTTATAGACCGTAACATACCGCTAGGTATAAGCGACGACGTCCTAGGTAATAGCTAGGCGACCTAGGTTGCGACGGTATAGGTAGGGCAGGCTACTAGAGTTAAGGGAGGACTCGTACTACTTATAGAGCTATATAGCCGACTAGGCACTAAGCTCTATACCGATTAGCAGTAGCTAAACGGTGTAATCCTTAAGCTAGGAGTCTAGTAGAGGTAGGCGCACTATAGAGAGTCGTCTAGTAGCTACTATCTATAAGAACTAGACTTCGCCGTAGGTAGTTAGGTCGATCTCGTAATACTTCGTCGCTCCGATATATTCGCTAATAGGTCGCTTGCCTATCTTCTAGTATTCCTTACCGTAGTCGCGGTAGGATATATCCTTACCGTTCTCGCTACGCTTATATAGGACTAGGTAACCGCCTACTATAACGCTATTCCGATGTTCCTTCGAGACGAAGCGGTAGAACTACTCTTATACAAGGTCGACCGTCTATAGGAAGTATAAGATAGCGCGTACTATAAGACCGACGGCTCTATTACGGATTAGAGATAGTGCTAGCTAGAATCGTAGGTCGCTAGTATAGGTGCTTAAGCTAAGAAAGTTCTCGCGTAAGCAGGTAATATTTGCTAGGAGTCGGTGCTATAACTTCGCGTAGTAGAAAGTAATAGTTAGTAGAAAATTCGTATCGAGGTTAGCTAGGTTAGGAAGCTCCTTTAATTCGCCCGCAGTTATAAGCGCTACGTACTCGCTAAAGCGTATCGCGTAAATCTCCTACTACGTATTGTAACCGTCCGAGTAGAGGTCGGTTCTAAAGATAGAGTATTTACGGGCGTAATCGTCGTTTACAATTCGGAAGGAGTATAGTTACGTAAAGAGTAGGCTTTTAAAATCGGTAACTAGCTTACCTATATACTAATGCAATTCGCGTAGAATCTAGAAGCGCCGATCGCCCGCGGTAAGGTATAGATAGTATAGGTAATACTAAAGCCTTACTAGATAGTATTCGACGAGTCGCTTACGTAGGCGTAGGCGAAAGAGGTTAGGCAGTCGACCGTCTGCGTCCTCGGCGTATACGTTACGTGCGAGTTTCGCGGCCTAGATAA